TGTCTCAAAAAAAAAAAAAAAAAAATCCACAATAGAGTAGTTCAGAAAATAACATTAAAAAAAAAATTCCCCTTGACCATGCAGAGTCAAAGAAAAGCATAAGCCAGTGTTGAAGAAAAGCAACGTATGTGGGCTTGAATGATCCAAACGTGTGGTACGGACAAGAGATGGGCGGGCCCGTGGGAAGAGAATACAGACCCACATCCATGTAAGTCCTTTTTATTTTTTATTTTTGAGGATGGAGTCTCACCTGGATCACCCAGGCTGGCAGTGCAGTTGGCAAAATTTTGGCTCCCTCAGCTCTGCCTCACCAGGGCTCAGAGCCAATTCTCCTGCCTCGCCTTCCAAAGTAGCTGAGATTACAGCGCTCCTTGCCGCCACACCTGGTAATTTTATTATTTTTGGTAGAAGAACATGGGTTTTCGCTGTATATAGCCGGCTGGTTCAAACTCCGCCTAGACCTCAGGTGATATGCCACTGCCTTGGCCTCCCAAAGACTGGGCGATTAGAGACGGACACTGCCCCCGCCGAGAGAAGTACTTTTAAATCAGTCGGCTAGCCACATGAAATAAGAGATTTAGATTTACCTACCATCAACCATCGCTCCATCAGTTCTATGGACACTTAAGGACAAAACGTGAAAGACAAAATTTTAAGCTTTAGAAAAAAATTAGAGTATGATTATGCCCTGAGATTGAAAGGCACTTTAAAAAAAAAACACACACACACAACATAAAACCTACATACTATAAAGAGTACTGACTTAGTGTAAGCGAACTTACACATTATACAATTTATTTTCAAACAAACCACAATTAAAGTTAAAAGGCATGTCTCATGGTAGGAGATATTTACATCTCACATAATCTGCAAAGATCACTAGCCAGAATTCATCAAGAACTCCTATATAACAATAAGAAAAAGAAATATCCCAATAGAACAACGGGCAATGGATATGAGCCAGAAAACTGCAGAAGAAATAAAAATGGCCAACAAGAAAAGATGCTCAATCTTAACGCAATTGGCAAAATGCAGAGATAGATCATCACCAATGGATAATACATAGCAGTTAAATGAACTAGAGCTATAAATCCCAAAAACAATGTTGAGTGAAAATCACCTATAAGTTGACACCATGTATGCCATGTTTGAAATAGGTGCATGTGACTTCTTTTATTTTTTTGAGACAGGGTCTCGCTCTGTTGCCCAGGCTGGAGAGCAGTGGTGCCATCATAGCTCACTGCAGTCTCAAACTCCTGAGCTCAAGTGATCCTCCTGCCTCAGTCTCCTGTGTAGTAGGACCACAGGCATGTGCCAGCACGTCCTGCTAACTTTTTGATTTTTTGTAGAGATGGGATTTCGCCATGTTGCCCAGGCTGGTCTCAAACTCCTTGGCTCAAGCTGTCCTCCCACCTGGGCCTCCCACAGCATGTTACACATTTTAAGTAAATACTCGTATATATAGTAATGGCAACAAAACCATGCTTGGGAAGGAAACACCAAGTTTTGGATGGCAGTTCCAGCACAGTTGTGTACTAAGCCAGATTCCACTGGCTTCCCTGAGCCAATTCTGCACATCTCTTCTTAATTCCATGTTCATGATGTTGTGTTAGTAATTTGAAATCTGCTGTGATGGGAGTGTTTATACCACAGAAATCAAAAAACATTATAAATTCCAGATCCTCCCTCCCCTTTCCCCATGCTGGAGAACTGGTTTACCAACACATCAGTGTGCCATTCCTCACGGAGCGGAATGTGACTGGGGAAGGGGATATAACTGGATTCAATATTGTTTATAATGTCTTTATGCTTCAAACAAATTTTAAAGCAAATAAGGCACAAAGAAAGGAGTAATATGACAGACTCCCATGAGCCACGCCCGACTCTCTGACAGAATGTCTTTCTGTGCTTTTCTGTATTTTGGAAATCTTCGCTGAAAAAAGAAACCTAGTCAGTTGAATTTTTCAGGCCAGCATAATACCATTTCTTTATGCTCTCTTTAATTTTAGATTTAAGTCTTGCCTAGTTGGTCACAGTATTATTATATTATTTTGAAAAACTTGGACCTGAACTAACAGAAGCTGAAAGTTATTATTTCAAGCCCCAACCACAGATTTGCCAGATAGGTGTATCTTTGAAATTGACACACCTATCAATTGGTTGAACCCGGGAGGTGGAGGTTGCAATGAGCCGAGATCGTACCACTGCACTCCAGCCTGGGTGATACAGTGAAACTGTGCCTCAGGAAAAAAAAAAAAAAGAGAGGGAAAAGAACAGAGACGTAATTCAGGAATGTAAATCTCAGTCACCACCTAACTTCTGCAGATTGGGGTCCACTGCAAAGATCACTTCTTGCTAACTCGTTTGTTCGTTCGTTCATTCATTCATTCGAGATGGAGTCTCACTCTGTCATCCAGGCTGGAGTGCAGTGGCATGATCTTGGCTCACTGCAACCTCCAACTCGTGGGTTCAAGTGATTGTCCTGCTTCAGCCTCCCAAGTAGCTGGGATTACAGGCATGTGCCACAATGCCCGGCTAATTTTTTTTGTATTTTTAGTAGAGATAGGGTTTTGCCATGCTGGCCAGCCTGTGATCTGCCCACCTCGGCCTCCCAAAGTGCTGGGATTACAGGTGTAAACTACCATGTCCGGCCTCATTCTTATCTTTCTTTAAATTAGGAGACACATACAGATTTAAACTCCAGGGATTAGGAGCCCCTCCTGGAGTAAGCCACACTTCATGAACCAGAGAAGCAAGGCTCCACTCTGGCAAGAGGGCACGTGGCTGAATGCCTGGGGTTTGGAGTCAGAGAGGCTCAGATAATGCATATGAAATGAAAATGCATCTAAAGCTCTATGGCCTCTGGTATGGAGCAAGCACTCTATAAATATGCCTTACCATCAACTCACAGCCAAACCACAGAAGACCTAGGTCAGGGGCCTCCCAGGATCTAGCCCTCTTGCTTCCTTCTGGGTTACAGGGCCAGCAGCGGGCTCTGGAAGGAGAAACTATGCAGGGGCTCACAGGATTTTATCATCAGTGATTGCACAATGAGGGCTGGCTTTCACACCAGCACATTACTAATGAACATGTAGACTCTGGATTCTCCAATTCAGTTTCTACGCCCTCTCTCTATTTTCTTTTTATTTTGTTTATTTTATCTAGACTGTGTATCTCAACCATGGCTGCACATGAAGACCTTTGAAAAATTCTGATGTTCTGGTCCCACCAACAAGTCAGAATTTCTGAAGGTAGGATCCAGTTTCCCAGGTGATTCCAGTGGGTAGCCCAGGTTGAGAAATACTGATGCAAAATACACAAACTGTTTTTCAAAGTCTGCGTCAAATGAAAACAGTTCTGTGGTAACACTGACACTTGCTACAACCTAGGCTTTCAGAATTAAAGGATAAGCATTTCAAGTCAAGCAACCTGTCTCCCAGAGGTCAGGCTTGTGCTAGGTGTTGGGATTCAAGGGTGGCAAAGGAGATCCTGCCCTCAAGGAGCTCACATTTACCAACTATAGTAAGACAAGATGGGTAGGCCTGAGCTTGCGTTTATAGCTGAGTCATAAAATGACAGGACATTGCAGAACTTTATAATGGGATTTCACTATCACAAAATCAAGAACATCATGGGCTTATATTTTGGTACTTCCTTTGTGCTGGCACTTTAGGTTTATCAGTTCACGGGAGCTTCACCGTAACCATATGAGGGAGATTTTCCTATTATTTCCATTCCTTCCTTCAATACAGGTTTGGATGCCTCCTATGGGCCAGGCACCATTTTAGACACTTAGGCAGTAACAAAACAGACTCCTGTCCTTGTAGAGTAAGTGTTTTGTGAGTCAGGGTGGAGAGGAAAGAAACAACAGGCATAGTATAAAAGTTGATCATATAGTATGTTAGAAATTGATGAGTGCCATGAGGAAAAGGATAAGTGGAGAAGGTAAGGTATGTGTGGATACTCAGGGAGCCTCAGCGAGAAGAAGGAGTTGAGTAAACACCTGACATACAGGGGTTAATTTCATTCCCTTTAAAGATTCACCCAACACATACAGGGGGCTTTGCTGGGATGCAAACTCACGTATGTTGTACACTAGCTTCTGTGCTCTTAATCAGACTACTAACTGTGTCTTTCCATTTTTTTTTTTTTTTGAGATGGAGTCTTGCTCTGTCACCCTGGCTAGACAGACTGCAGTGGTGCAATCTTGGCTCACTGCAACTTCCACCTCCGGGGTTCAAGCAATTCTCCTGTCTCAGCCTCCCGAGTAGCTGGGATTACAGGTGCGCACCACCATACCTGGCTAATTTTTATATTTTTAGTAGACATGGGGTTTCACCATATTGGCCAGGCTGGTCTCGAACTCCTAACCTCAAGTGATCTGTCCACCTTGGCCTACCAAAGTGCTGGGATTACAGGTGTCAGCCACCATGTCTGGCCCTAAGTTTTCTTTCAAGCTGCATTAATAAAATAACTTATTTATTCACTCTCTGTCTTGTTTACTATTTTAATTTTCTAGCCCAGTGTCTGCTACATACTTACATTTTTAATTAAACTGATTATTTGAAATTATCAATTCAATTGCATTAGTATGTTATGACTTGAAGTATGTATTGTATGTTTACTGTGTCCAGCCCACTCCCCAGGTAGAAGAAAAGTTATAGAAAATCCAGTGTAGCTGGGATCCTGGAGACTAAGCAAGTACATATTCTTGGATGTCCTGTTCATGTCGTATTGTGGAAGAAAAGATGTCATTGCCCCGCCAGGGCAAATAGGTTTCTTCTCTGAGCCAGGAGGATGGAGAGCGAGAGAATATGGAATACATGGGAGACTCATAAGGAAATAAGGATACTTCTAAGTAGAAAGCTTCATGACATAATAGCCCACAAAAATGTATGAAGCTGAGTCAGGGCTTACAGGTAAAGTTTCTCAGGCTGCATTCATTTGAGAAATGTTCATAATGTTCCTATGGGAGAACGATCTTTTGAATATTAACTTACCTATTGAAGTGGTAGATATCCTGTATGTTTCCAAAAAGGGCTGATCTTTCTTCAGTCCCCAGGGGAAGTTTTGTTTGGTCCCTGATGCAGTCAAGGTAATCCTGTGAGATCAATGAGAAGGATGCCTTAAACACTCCTGTCCTTTCCAAGTCACCTTTAATTATGCCCAGTGAATCTTTCATATCTGTTTCAAGTAATTATCATACTATTATGCTCATTAACTCTGAGAGTACACAGTTGCTCTCTTATTACTGGCCCTAATACTCACCTATTTATAGAACAAAGAGTTTTAGCAAAGAGAAAGAGTATGGTATACATTCTATCTACCCCCTAAATATATTAGAGCTTCCCTAGATGGGGCTACAGGGACCACAGTGCCCATAACGTCAGTTTTGCTATAACCACATCGTCCACTGTTTCTTTGACTGATTGGTATGATAAAAACATGCTCTAAAATTCATATAGTGAAAAGCCAGAAATAAAAATTCTGAACTGACAGAATTGTTTTAAACATAACCTTTAAGTCACAAAACTATCTGTTGTTAAACTACAGAACCAAATTCTTTTTCAAATACCAACTTATTTTTTTAAGTGAAAAAAATAAGCACATAACTTACTTATGCTCTCTACTATGCTGTAATGAGCCACGAAAAACTCTCAATTGATTTTGTATGTTTTAACATAGAAACAGCTCCCAGGCAGATCTGCTGTGGATTCAGACCCACAGTGGGTTAAACTGACATGGCTTAGAAGAGATTTGAACTGCTGAGAAAGATGAAGGCTGCTTTCTGCCCCGTGTGTGCTAAAGAGTTCATAACTGAGTGTTCCCCTTTCCCTAGCAAGACTTGAAAAAGGATTCTGTAGGAGGCAGGAACACAATAAAGAAAAAAGTGAAAACAGCTGAAATAACGTAAAATAAAAAATAAATACAGTCCTTGCCCTAGGCTGAACGATGAAGTACGGCTCCCTCCCAAATGCAACATGGCGATCTGCGGCATTTAGAGGAAGTAACTCTGTGAAAAGTCAAGCAGACCATGAAAATCCCAGCACCAGAGCCGCATTCCAATGTCCAGCAGCAAACACTGTTGTGTTTAGATGCAGCTAGAGAAAGGAGAAGCTGAAATATAAGAACCATTAGACAATTGTTTCTTATACCTTTTATTAATCCACCTTCATTCTCTCATGTTCTTTAGGTTCCTCCAATGCAAAATAGGCAGGGCTTTCATCATTAACTTTCTCAAACAGCACATTTCACAGTTTGCATCAAATTAGGTTTCATTCTAGTTCTTTCATACTAAAATCACTGTCATGCATAAACCAATGTTCATAAACTTTTTTTCAAAACAAGCTCTGTGGTTAACAACTTTTCTTCTTAAGAAAGTAGTCACCGGCCGGGCGCGGTGGCTCAAGCCTGTAATCCCAGCACTTTGGGAGGCCGAGACGGGCGGATCACGAGGTCAGGAGATCGAGACCATCCTGGCGAATACGGTGAAACCCCATCTGTACTAAAAAATACAAAAAACTAGCCAGGCGTGGTGGCGGGCGGGGGCCTGTAGTCCCAGCTACTCGGGAGGCTGAGGCAGGAGAATGGCGTAAACCCGGGAGGCGGAGCTTGCAGTGAGCTGAGATCGGGCCACTGCACTCCAGCCTGGGCGACAGAGGGAGAGCAAGACTCCGTCTCAAAAAAAAAAGAAAAAAAAGTAAGTAGTCACCTCAATAAGAAAGTAGATTCAAAAGATTTAAAAGCAGTTGGCATTAAAATCCTCAAATAGCTTGGCCTATTCTCCTTACTGTTTTTTTGTTTTTGTTCTTGAGACGGAATCTCGCTCTGTTGCCAGGCTGGAGTGCAGTGGCACAATCTTGGCTCACTGCAACCTCTGCCTCCTGGGTTCGAGCAATTCTCCTGCCTCAGCCTCCCAAGTAGCTGGCACTACAGGCGTGCACCACCACACCCGGCTAATTTTTGTGTTTTTGATAGCGACAGAGTTTCACCTTGTTGGCCAGGATGGTCTCGAGCTCTTGACCTCTTGATCCGCCCACCTCAGCCTCCCAAAGTGCTGGGATTACAGGCATGAGCCACCACGCCTGGCCCTCTCCTTACTGTTATAAATGGAACAATCATAAGAGCTTGAGTACCTGCATAGGACAGGCCCAAAAAAGACCCAAAAAGAAAAAAAAATGGAGGCCAGAATTGAAAGAATGGTACATTTTGAACAACATATAAACCCTACACTCTCTCAAAATAAATATATTCATCGATATTTCTGTTAAATTACATATGGTCCAAAAGGAGGGACTAATACTCAACGTGCAGTGACTGTTTGTATTTAATAGCAGCTTAAGAGTTTGCTGGACATTTTGGAGGGCATATTGTACACAAAATTAAGAAGGTAAAACAGAAGGATGTAGATAGGCATGAGCCACACCAGCAAGGCAGGAGGAGGGGCGGGGCAGAGGTGGCGGACGCAAGCCACATTCACCTGGCTGAATTCAGAGGCTCCGCAGTGGGGCTTAAAGAGAGAATGAACAATCCTTTCTCTCACTTCAAGTGTTAAACTTGCTCATTTGCAGAAACCTGATACTAAATTCTTCATGTGAGAGAAAGATTGAGTTAAGGGGCTTAAAGAATTTCATCTGGGGTTACAGACAAAGAACCGTGGCCTGCATCCAACAACCGATGGCCCATCGCCAGCTCAAAGAGTTTCAAAAACCTCAGAGTCCATGACAGAGAAACTAAATTTTAAAAGTTGCTTGTTTTCAGAAATTATTGAGAAAACAGATCGTGAGGAGTCCACATTTTTGTAGATGACTCTAGAAAACAGATCAAAGTTGTATGGTCATAACTAGTTCCCCCCACTGATCATAAGCACATCTTTTAAATATAATACTTTAACCCTAGACTAGTTCCTGAAAACTATGGCAGCATGCCCTGTATTCGCAGCTGTAATCATCTGTAGCCAAAATGAGTGGTTTGAAGCTTGGTGATAATAATAGTTCATTCTGCGCCCGAAATGACAGAGTAAGGACACCAACGAAATTTATTAGAGCCTGTCATGCTGCTTATTAATTTTATTGGCTTGATGTCAGCACCTATGGCTACCCTACTGTTAACAACTACGAAGGATCAATTTAAAACTTTTGTACTGAAAACAATTATTCTCCAAGAGGATCAAAGAATTTACTTTGGTGAGGGAAGGAGCAGAGAGTACACACAAAAAAGGGCTTTTCACCATTTGAATGATTTTCTGTGATCTAAAATTTCTCCTATTTATTTTCTGATCAGTTTATGTCCTTAAGATCTCTATCATTATAAGATTTGCACCCGAGCATCCTCCTCTAATTAACTTTTTCATTCCTTGTAATATCTGTTAATGAAAATATCCAAGTAGATATCCAAGTAGATCTGACTTGGTCCTATTCAAAGTATGGGAAGTGGGCAGGAGCCAATTTGCAAACTGTTTGCTGCTGATCTAGGAGATAAGTACAGACATCAAGTAAGCATGCAGAAACTTTTTACAGTAGTTTACAGAATGATTTAATATCAACCTAATAGTAAATTTGTGCTTGTACTTTGTACATCTTATTCTTCTTCTAACTTTTCTGGTATTCTGTTTTAAATTGTATTTTGCAAAAGGATCAGTGTGTGATCGATGGAAAGAAAACACATACACTTGCCCCTTACCATGAATAGTTTGAGAAGCTCTGATCTACATAACCATTCAGCAGGGACATGCTATAGAAAGAAGAACTGAGACAGAAGGCAAATTCAGCACCCTTGGGAGTTTACCTTATTTCTATGAGATGCCCAGAAATAGGTTAGTTTATGGCTCCTCCACTTCCCTTCTTCCTCTGATATCACATTACAGTTTTTTTTTTGTTTTTTGTTTTTTTTTTTGAGATGGAGTCTCGCTCTGTCGCCCAAGCTGGAATGCAGTGGCACAATCTTGGCTCGCTACGCCCTCCACCTCCCAAGTTCAAGCTATTCTCCTGCCTCAGCCCCCTCGAGTAGTTGGGATTACAGGCATGCGCCATCACGTCCAGCTAATTTTTGTATTTTTAGTAGAGACGGGGTTTTGCCATGTGGGCTAGGCTGGTCTCAAACTCCCGACCTTAGGTGATCCACCTGCCTTGGCCTCCCAAAGTGCTGAGATTACAGGTGTGGGCCACCGCACCCGGCCCTCAGAAATAATCTTTTTTCATTTCTCCAACCCCTCTACCTTTTCTAGAAAGTAGTCTGTTTATCCAAAAACTTGCCTTTCAAATTTCACGTATTACATTGGGATGCCTCTGAAACTAGAATAACTTACATGTGTATAGTAATTTACAGTTTAAAAGCACATTAGCATTCATTTATACAAACCTTCCTCCCATCTTTTTATTTTGAGAATGTAAGAATGTGTGCCAAGTGCTGTTTTACAAGTTAGGAATTAAAAAAAAAAATGAATAAAACATGATCCCTTCCCCCAGCAAGCTCCCTGTCTAGCTGAAGAGCCAAGTGTAAACAAATAAATAGAATACAGTGTTTTGGCAGCAAGACTGATAAATATTCAGTTCACAAGAGAGGGCAGGAAAGGCAGAAGTGGTCAGTTCCAGGGAAGGGAGAGGCTTCATAGGGAAGGTGAGGGTGGAGCTGAATCTTGAAGGATGAAGTTTCAATACAGTGAAAGGAGGAAGGAGACAACATCCAGGAGGCCAGAAATGGGTAAACAAAGGCACAGGGTAACAAAAAGGGCACTAAAAGGAGTTGAAAAGGGCTAGATTTCAGGCCATCCAGATGTCAGGGTTGAGACCAGCTGGACAGAGCGGGGCGTGCGCCTGAACACACAGACCCTTGAGGGTGGGCCTGCACTGCTAGATGAGGCTAAATGGGGGCCAGGAAAGGTCATGCAGAATCTTCCATGCTACATAGCTGGTGGTAACCACTGAAGGGCGTGGTGAGATTAAAGATGGTTTCATCATCAATAAAGAAAACAGGGCCAGGTGCAGTGGCTCATGCCTGTAATCCCAGCACTTTGCGAGGCAAAGGCAGGTGGATCACCTGAGGTCAGGAGTTCAAGACCAGCCTGGGCAACATGGTGAAACTCCATCTCTACTAAAAATA